GATCCCTCTCAGAGTGAGGAGTTCAGTGAAATCTGCAAAGTACAGTGCTGCCCCCTAGTGACTAATTAGCCTGAATGTCATTCTTCATCACAACACAGTTCCAATTGAACTTTGATAATTTTTTTTTAATTTCCCAGGCGGCCGCAGTGTGCTGCGTGCGGCACAAGGCAAATAAATATTGATGGACACTCTCAAACCTTAGACGCTTGCAAGCTAAGTGACACTAAGATACAGAGAGGAAGGTAGAAGGGTAGCTGTGCGTGGATGAGGTAATAGAGGTTTCATATATAGTTTTTCAGAACGTGATGAAATGTGAACAAGCGATGTGATTGCAGTCCTGATTTCTGCTGCATTTGTTTCCATTTGAATTATTTTGCTCTGATCTATTTTTCATACATTTCTGAACTGACACGAGATATATTTGCATTAAATGGTATAAAAATCACAGATCTTAGTGGAATATGACTTCCTGTTTCTGAACTCAAGGGCTTCTCTGTCCAGCTCTATCATCTCTTAGTTTACTTCTAACCCCTTTTGAGAGCTCATTTGCAGCACAGCCAGAAAGTGCCTTTTTTGTTGTTTGAATCCCCTTTCTCCATGGAGTCTAATTTAATCTCCTTCATGGCACCAACCCAGATTGAAATTAAGAACATGAAGCAACCTGGTGATCTGGCATTTTAGTGTTTAATATTAAACACATGCCAGGAGTGGAGCTGTGCATGACCTGTGCCTTTGGAGACTTCAGGCCCAAAGCTTGGAGAGAAGACAGACAGCCTGTTTAATGTACAACCTGTGAACTAAGTTTCCTATGTCCACCCATCCATTAGAACGTAGGTTAGAAAGAAGGGAAGCCCTGTGCCCTACAAGCCCATCCAGGAGCCTCAGCAAGGTCATATATGGACAGGAGATCATGCACTTCCCTCCTCCCTCCAAACTACTCAGTCCTCTCCCTGCTGCACATCTCTCATTCCTCTAGGTAACAGAAGCCGCAACTTCCACCCGTTCCAGTTTCCAAGCCATAAGACACCCTCCCACACCCTCCTATCATATAGGGCTCAGTTCTCCTCCCAGTGACAAAACCCTTTAACCCTTCCTAACTGCTAAGTCCCCTTCCTTTCCTTCTAGCCGATGAAATCATTTGGACCATCTCACTTTCCATCTCCCTGAGGTCCTGCCTAACTTATTCACCCCCTAGTGAATCCCAGCGCTATCCCTGCTCTGGACCATCGCCCACGCAGAGGTGCACCAGTGATGAAAGGAGCAGTCAGCACTTTCATTTCATTGTAGGTGCATGTTGGTAATTTTGTCACATATCTCACTGTAGGCAGTGGGGATAGCACCACCTATACATAAGGATGCCTGACACTTCCCCATTATAAGATCTGGTTTCTAATAACTCTGCCTTTACATAGCACTCTAGATCTGTTGCTTCACAGGTGAGAGGAGACCCCAAGCTGGTCAAAGTGGCTGTAGCAGACACTCACCACAAGCCACAGGTCTCTTCTCGGGGGGGGGGGGGGGGAGGAATTTTAAGTTAATAAAATGGAAGAGATTTGGAAAACTCATTTACCGCAAGTAGATCTTTTCAGCAAGTGTTCCTGGCTGAAAGGGGGAGATCTGAGGTACATCTAGAAAATAAGGGAATTTTAACATCAGCAACATCTGGAATGGAGGATTTGTTTATCTGCTTTTCATTCTTCTACCTGAAGGTATGCAATAAAAAAGCTCAGTCACCGGCCCTAGACCTCTGAGAGCGCCAACTTTCGGTGCAGTAAAGAAGAGCAGAAACACTGACGTTATGCCACCATTAGGTTTCAGAATTAACATCAGATTGCCATCAATGTGGCAGCTCACATGTGAGCTATTCTTTCAGGCTGCCTTCTCACACTGCTGAGTCAGTTTATACTTTGGCTCATGTTTTCAAAAGTTCTCTACGACCATAAAGGCTGGAAATAGGAAGGGTTTTCTATTTTAAATGAAAGTTTAGATTCTAGAATATGGGCTGGTGGGAAGGAACAGCAGGTGCAGAATAATAGTGGGCCCTGCTTATAGGAATGAAATGTGATATAGGTAGGCTAGACTGCCAGGTGGCGTGTTCAGCACTTCCCCAATTAGAAGGGAAAACTCCTTTGTGTTCGGTTTTGTTTTGGGGTTGTTGTTCTGGTTTTGAAAAAGGAATTTTGTGGCTAATGCATCTAATTCAGAAAGTACTGACCTTGCATTTCACACAACCACACCACTTCCCGCTAACAGATACAGCCCTAGATTTCTAGAACTCGACACTTTTCTGGTGGAATTTGAGTTCCTTCTTTGGTGCACCAGAATGAACTCAACATGTAATTTCTGCACTATACTAACAACCTAAGTCTCCAGTGGAGTGGGTAAGTGTAACAGTCTGTACCCTTATGTTCACCATTTTTGCAAGACGATGATCATTTTTGTACAAAGTATGCTTTGCAAGGTATCGTTTGCAAGCTCATAATCTGCTGATCATCAAATAAAATATGAGTGGCAACATTGTATGTAAAGTTACAAGATTCTACTGCATAACATTCCTGAGACATGTTCCAAGTTGAGAAAAGCAGGCACAAGCCAGTTCCTCACTGCCAAAAGACAAATTGATGCCTCAGCCAGTTGTCAACAAAATCATATGGCCTCTTCTTCTTTGGCAGGAAGAAGGATGTGAGTGAGAAATCTACATTTCGACAAACAAACAGCCGGGGTTTCCTGTCTCCTCGGACCTTCTGTTTCCTGAATCTCAGCTGAAGATGAATTTTTGCAAAAGAGAAATGGCTATAAGAGGAGAAGACAAATGCCCCAATGGTTTTCTTCCTCCTGTTCTCTCTGCTAATGGCATCAAGAATAGCTGAAGGGCAAGGAAAGGAGCAGTGGGCTGGAGGAGAGGTCCTGGCTGAAAGGCATCCAGCCAGTAAGACTTAAAAAGCTTGTGATGAGAGAAAGCTTTGCTTTGAATTCATTTAGCCGGGTCAGTTAGGTATTAGTTGTGTTTTACCTTTTATTTCTTTGTAACCAATTCTGACATTTATGTCTCATTACTTGTGATCACTTATGCTCTTTCCTTCTGTAGTCAATAAACGTGTTCTATCTAAACCAGAGTGTTTGAACTGAAGTGTTTGGGAAACTCCATTTGGGGTGACAGGATTTGTGCATAGCATTTTCTATTGATGAATGACGGACTTTATATGAGCTTGTATTGTCCAGGAGGGCGCTGGGAAGTGCAAGACACATTTCTGGGGGAGAGTCTGGGACTGGGAGTTTGCTGGTGTTGCCTTGCAGTGTAATTCATGAGTGGCTGGCATAGCATTCATATAATATAACTGGGAGTGAGTTGCATGCTGGAGGCCGGGTGTGAGCAAACCAGGAGCGGTTGCTCTTACAGTGAAGCAGTTTAAAAGGCGCTCCAGGTTGGAGAATTGAGGGAACACAGCAGTTCAGGCTGTACCTGGGGAATGTCACAGTAAGGGAGAATTTTCATAAGCACAGTTGATGTGTGGGGCTGCAACCAGATTATCAACCCAGCATTGGGCAACAGCTGGAGTTCTAGTGCATGTAGGTGTACAGGCATTAGGCAGTATCCCTTTCAATAGTGGGGAGACCTCACATAGGCCTCCCTGTCTTCTCTAACAGAAGTGTATACATGTAGCTAGATGTTGTATATAGCTAGTAAACACATGGTTGTTTGGGATCCAACTGTGTTCAGGTGGTTTCCTCTTATTTTTAATGTTGTGTTGAGAGCAAAGACAACAGTGTGGCACTAATACTATTGTGGTTAATGTGGTTTAAGTAGAGTCAGTTCCTCGACTGTGTCCTCTACCTTTGGTTACAGAGCAGGAGACAGAGATGTTCCTGTACAATATCATTACAATGAAGTTCTGAACACTTAAGCTACAGGGAGAGATACACCACTAGAGAGGGCCAGGAAATTATCCCCCCTGCACAAACAATGTTGCAAAAACAGAAATTCTCATTTTTTGTTGAAATGTTTGATTTTTTCACAAAAATAAAGCCCCCCAAACACTCAGCTCCTGACCATGGAAAATTTCTATATTTTTTTGAAAACCCAAACAATTGTGATGAAAACGGAAAGTATGGAAAAAATTCTATCTGCTCAAAAAGCCATTTTCCATCAACGAAGCTTTTCAATAGAAGATTTATGACCTTTCTGTCTCTGCAGATACTCCTCCCTGCCTTGCTAGGTGGGCCCCATCTCTGCTCAGCTCTCCTGCTTCTCAGAGCAGCATCCCACAGTTGAGAAAGCTGAATCCCCCCTGGTGACCCCATGTGCGCAGCCAGGCATTCACCTCCATTCACGTCTCACATTCTAATCACTAGGCAAATGTGATGACTGGTCTGCTGGAGTAGAAGTGAAAGCCGAGTCCAGCCCATTAAGAATATAGCGAAGACGGCTTATTTGTAGTGGCTCTGTTGACTGTTAGTACATTTGCCTTCTCTCTATATTGAGTCCGATCCTACTAGGCCTAAGCAGCCTCTGCACTGGGTGCCTTCAACTCCCACAGACTAACAGGAATTGAAGGTGCTGAGCTGAGCACCCCACAGGATCAGGCCCATATTTCTAGGTTTTTTGGGGGGGGGTTATTAAATCTAAAACCATCCACCCACTTTGTATCTCGTTTTAGGCATTGGGTAGCCCCAGTAACTTGTGCTTTGGGGGCACGTTGAGATGTTCCATTCTGGGAGGGGTGCAGGAGTTACGAATTAGGGCTTTGACTGGACTGTGAAACAGAAACGTCAGACGGATCTGGTTTCCTCTGAATAAAGGCGGTTGAAATGACACATTCTAAAAAAGCCACCCCCACAGAATGAGACCACTCAGCTGGCACGAGTTCAGGAGGAAGTGAAACAGTCAAGAGAAAGGAAGTCTGAAACAAAATCCATTTGTAAGTATGTTTTAGATTCGAGAAAACACAGAGCCCTGCCTTCATTGAGACCGCACCGGAAATGCAGATAGCTACCTACAGTCCACATTCTGCTGGCTGAAGAAAGAACCGGGACCATGAGGAGTTTCCTTGTCTGGGCTTGGATTCTTTTCCCAGGTGAGACGGGATTCTTTATGTCAATAGAAATAGACCCAGGAGGCAGACCTGCTCCCATTGGGGCAATAGGAGCTGTGGCTGCTACGCATTTCTGCAGTCAGGTCCCCTACCCAAGTGCCTGACGTTAGGCACAGGTTTGAACAGATGACAGCAGGGAATGCCCTAGTTTAAAGCCAACCTGCAGGAATCCCCATGGACCTGGAGAAAATGTCCTACCTAAAAGCCAAAACAATTCAATGCTGCAGTGGATTGAAGTGGTTTGGAAGATCTCACAAACCAGGGCCCTTTTAGTACCACAGTTTCTCCATTGAGATAGGGGAAGGAATTACCACCTAATAATTGTACCCTTCCCTGCCACCGATGGCTCCGGAGGATTGTCCTCTAACTTCTAACACATTTTCCTCTCCTCCCTCAAAACCCATGCGGCAAGTTGGTTTGAGAAGGAATTTCACTGCAGTCAAGTGCTCTGCAGATGGTAGTAACATCCCCAGCGCAGTCACTTCCAAGGGGGATGCAGACTGGTTATGCACCTATTTGTTGTTTGCTTGCTTTTTAAATAGCATTGTAAGATTGGGTTTTCAATGTCACATACGTGACACAGGAGAACAAGTGGCACTGAAAGGCACTGGGACCTGGGCTCCTAAGTCACTTAGACACCTGACAAACCTGACCAATGCAGTGAGTATTTCTATCTGAAAAGGCACAAAAGGAGAACAATACCATGATTTTTGGGGAGGGGGAGGACAGGGGGGAGATTAGAAAAGAGCCAAGACACACACACAGTGTGTAAAACTACTGCAGCCATCATTCAGATGGACCAGGGCACTCTCACAAGCAAACATTTTAGTCTCTGTGGAAATCTCTTAGAGGTTGGCTTTGGGTACCATACTGGGGAGCGGTGACCTGTAGTTTGGTGGTGGTAACTGAACACCATTGCATACTAATGTGTAAAGGATTCATTTGATCACAGAGATAACTGACAAGTGTGATGCCCATTGCCAAGCATCAGGTGCCCAACAGAGTTTGTTTCATAGTCAGTTTAGTCTTCTACTTCCTATGTAACATAGGTCCTTGTGAGCTTGCCTGCTCCCTCCACCCGTCCCAAAGGTTAACTAGGGCAGCAGTGGGTTCCCCTCCATGATGAGAAGTGATGCTAATGCCATAGTTTAGCTGATCTCAGCAATGTCAAGGAGGCTCTCCAATACCCTGCCCAGCACAGGAGTGTCTGAGCACGTGAAAGGAGATAAAGCATGTAGAAGATTTTCAGACTCTCCTAAACTGGTTAGTCATTCCCCCCGCCCATATAATAAAGTTGTGGGAAAGCTAAGTCAGGGAATCCTCTGTGGCATTCTCAGGTTCACTGTCCTAGATGAGCAGGCGCTGTATTTTGGAAGGACACTAACAAAGAAAGCAGAAGGGGGATTTTTTATGTTTCTCTTTGGCTTTGGATTTATGTGGGGGTGGGGAGAGGAGGTGAAGTCCCAGATGATTCCATCTCCCCACTACCCCACACTAGGAACAAATTGCCTTACATCTATTGACTATTCATCATAGTCTTAAGCCCCACCTCCTGCATTACCGTAGCATGAGTTTCTCAAATGAGGCCACCATGGCTGCATGTGGCTGCCAGGGGCTTTTCGTGCAGCCACAGCTTCCTGGGCGGTGACCGGGTGGGAGGGAGGGGGACGAAAGCAGTGTTAACAAACATACAGATATCACTTTTCACGGAAACAGACTTACTAGCTGGCAAGTCCTAAAAAACGCAACGAAATAAGCAAAAGAAACAACAACAAAAGACAACAACATGCAAAGCACCTGTTTTGTTTCTATTCTATTTAGGTCCAGTAAAGAATAGAGACAACTGTGCATTATTTTTATTATTGAGTCTGCAATAAAAACCTACCCAAATGAATTACAATGATTTGGACATGGATATGTGAATATTTCTTTGTTTTTCCTAAAGTTAATTAAGTACTTGAGGAAAAAGTGTCAGGACGGCCACCAGCAAATTGGTGGCTGCACTCAGAGGCCACCAAAACATTTCTTGTGAGACCTATCCTCCCAACACCCCTGTGAGGCAGGAAAGCACCATTATTCCCAAGGGAACTGAAGCAGAGAGAGGTGAAGAAACTTGCCCAAAGAGTCTGTGGCAGACTGGGGACTTGGACCCAGATCTCCTAAGGCCTAGGCTATCAGCTTTCACCACCTTACATCCACCACAAAGCAGCCGTCTCCTTCCACACAGGAATATCCATGCACAAAAGCTTGGTACGGCTAACTAGTTCTGAACTTTGTCTCTTTGTCACTGGTTTTTGCTCAGCAGGAAAGCAATGAAAGCAATTTTGTCTTTTGCAGGCTGTTGGGCTCTGACCGGCCCTAGGGAGGTGAGCGGCCCCTTGGGAGGGTCGGTGTCTGTGCAGTGTCAGTACGATGAGTGGTACCAGAACTATGAGAAATACTGGTGTAAAGGAAAAGACCGGTTTTCCTGCTCCATAGCTGTTCAGACCAACAGTTCAGAGGCAGAGGTGGTAAAGGACAGAGTCTCCATCCAAGACAATCACACGCAGTTCACATTCACTGTGACTATGGGGAGCCTGGCACTGGGCGACCAGGATAGTTACTGGTGTGGGATAGAGAAGAGCGGCTTTGACAAGATGTTTGCTGTCAACGTGTCTGTTTTCCCAGGTAAGTCCTTTAAGTGTGGGACGTGTTGTGCCAGTCACCCAGCACCGTGAGCAGCGTGGCTGCTGCTAAGCTAGGAGTCAGCACCCTGCAACACCAGCTTGTCTACCCGGCCAGCACACTCCTGAGGACTCTGCCAGTCCAAACCTTGCCTGGCAGGTAGCAATCAGTGAACCGCAATTCCCGAGTTCCCAGAGATGGCTCTTTGCAGCCGCCAGGTCCTCTCACTGGACACTCAAAGAAAAGTTATTGCGTTTGCTGGCTCCAAAGAGACAGAACACACACCAGCCTGTTAGTTTAGCTGAGGACTTCACCTCTCAGTTTAATACACAGCCCTGTGCTGGTTTTGTAATAAAACCAGAGTAGCTTTGTTAACAAAAAACAGATATGTAGGTGATATAAGGAAGAACAGAAGACACAAGTAAAACAAAACAAAAACACGCTTTCTAGTGACTGAAACTTAATTCAGCAAATTACAATCTTCGTCTAAGCAGGTTTCTCACCTATAGTCAGTTCCCAGAGACATCAACC